ATAAAATGAAACATTGATAGTTATTTTCGTATTAATTATATATTAATTATCTATTAAAAAAAAAAACAAGATGTGTTTGTGAAACATTGATGCCCCCGTATGGAAACTTATAGCGAAGGTTAAACTTTCTCAAATGCAAAATTAAATATGTAGGTACCCAAAGTAAGGTCTTGTCTCAAAGAATATACCTGTGAAATATGAAAACCCTAGCAGCAACCATTGAAAAGATATAGAAAAGGTTACAGTTTTTCAAAAGTAAGTCAAGCATCGTCAAGTTCAAATGGTCAAAATTAATGGTGCACAAGGGAAGGCCTTCTCACAAGAAATACACATGTGAAATATGAAAGCCCTAGCACCAACCGTTCAAAAGTTATTGCCAAGGTTAAAATCTTTCAAAAGTAGGTCAAATTCCAAGGCCAAATGGTCAAAGTTGGTGGTATCCAAAGGAAGGTCTTGTCACAAGGATACATATGTGAGGTATGAAAGCCCTAACACTAATTATTATTCAAAAGTAATGGCCAAGGTTAAAGTTTTTCAGAAGTAGGTCAAACTCCAAGGTCAAAGGATCAAATTTGTTGGTATCCAAAGTAAGGTCTTGTCACAAGATTACATATGTGAAGTATGAAAGCCCTAACACTAACCGTTAAAAAGTTGTGACCAAGGTTAAAGTTTTTCAAAAGTAGGTCAAACTCCAAGGTCAAGGTTGTTGGTATCCGAAGGAAGGTCTTGTCACAAGGATTACATATGTAAAGTATGAAAGCCCTTACACCAACCGTTCCCAAGTTATGGCCAAGTTTAAAGTTTTTCAAAAGTAGATCAAAGTCCAAATCAAAAGTCAAAATTGTTTGTACTCGAAGGAAGGTCTTGTTACACTTATGGAAAAAAAGAAAGCCCTAGCACCAATCGTTCAAAAGATATTACCAAGGTTAAAGTTTTTCAAAAGTACGTCAAACTCAAACGTCAAGGTCAAAAGATAAAAAAAATATTTGTACCCAAGGAAAGGTCTTATCACAAGGAATAAACCTGTGAAGTATGAAAACCTTAGTACCAACTGTCTAAAAATTCTGGTCAAGGTTAATGTGTGGTAAACTTTTGCAAAAGTAGGTCAAATTCCAAGGTCTAAAGGTCAAATATGTTGATACAAAAAGAAAGGTCTTATCACAAGGAATACTCATGTGAAATATGAGAGCCATAGCTTCAACGAGTCAAAAGTTATGGGCAATTAAGGTTAAGGCTTTTGCGGACAAACAGACACACAGACAGACAGACGGACGGACAGAGCAGAAACTATATGCCCCCGAATCTTTGATTACGGTGGAATAATAAGTTAGATGAGATGTCGATTGTCTTCATGGCCGCAAGAATATTTATTAGACAGAGAAAACAAACAAAAACAAGATGTGTGAAATATGTAAGCCCTAACAGCAACCTTTGAAAAGATATGGAAAAGATTAAGGTTTTTCAAAAGTGAGTCAAACATCAAGGTCATGGTCAAATGGTCAAAATTAATGGTGCCCAAGGAAAGGCCTTCTCACAAGAAATACACACGTGAAATATGAAAGCCCTGGCACCACCATTCAAAAGTTATGGCCAAGGTCAAAGTTTTTCAAAAGTAGGTCAAACTACAAGGTCAAGGTCAAAGTTGTTGGTATCCAAATTAAGGTTTCGTCACAAGGATTACGTATCCTAGCACTAACTGTTCAAAAGTAATGGTCAAGGTTAAAGTTTTCCAAAAGTAGTCAAACTCCAAGGTCAAGGGTTCAAAGTTCTTGGTATCCAGAGGAAGGTCTTGTTACAAGGATTACACATGTGAAGTATGAAAGCCCTAGCACCAACTGTTCAAAAGTTATGGTCAAGGTTAATGTTGGGTAAAATTATCCAAAACTGGGTCAAACTCCAAGGTCAAGGTCCAAAGGTCAAATATGATGATACCTAACGAAAGGTCTTGTCACAGGGAATACACATATGAAATATGACAGCCATAGCTCCTACCAATCAAATGTTATGGGCAAGGTTAAATATTTTGCGGACAAACAGACAGCTAGACAGACGGACGGACAGGGCAAAAACAATATGCCCCCAAATCTTCGATTACGGGGGCATGAAAATATTAAACCTTCATGCCACCTTCAAAATTGTAGACGTGTTGAAGTACATCATGTTTTTTTTTTCTCCAAATGATGTTCTTTGCAAATCACATGCGAAAATTTTTCCAAGGATAAATTGATATAGTATATATATGTACTGTTTTTCCTGTGATGGGATACAAAATCTCCCTTTAATTCGGATCTCTTGGGGTATTATAGAAGGGAATCCAAAGCTTTATTGCGGACTTCGAGGAAAAGGAGGGGAGTGAATGTCCTCCATTTTTAAACTCAAGAAGTTAGATGCTTTCTTCGGTCTTCCTTCCGTCTTTAATAAGCAATATATTCTTTAAAAATGTAAACAGGATTCTTTGAGATTTGGAGAAAAGTTGTGCTATTGGGCTACGATGAAGAAAACTTGGAGGTAGGCCAACAACCAATGCAGATTTTCGAAAGACGAGTTTCAGAGGTATACATGCATGTCTTTTCATAGTTTCATCATTACTGGTATTCTATTTAATTATTTTTTCTTGGCATGACATTCTAATAATATGATAGTTATGGTTATATAATACCTTTATATGTAAGGCACTTCGTCTGATTGGAAGATCACTTTTCAATCGTATCGATGGCAGATTCAACAAGAGAAGCTCCTGGCACTCTGCCCCCACTCCCACCCCCAATATTCTAAAAATAATTTGCGTTAAAAATGAAGTGCAACTGTTTTCATTGTGATTATTTGTCAGATGATTTGCTATCCTTCTCGATCCGTTGCTGAAAGTGTATGTCATAAAATAGTATCGAAATAAAGTTGACAGTTGAGTAAACTTTCATTTAGATGATTAAACATTAACTAAACAAGGTGTGTTTGTGAAACACCGATGCCCCCGTATGGCAACTCATGGCGAAGGTTAACGGACAGACAGCTAGACAGACAGTCGGACGGACCGACAGGGCAAAAACTATATGCCCCCGAATCTTCGATATCGGGGGCATAACTAACAATGCTTGTCCAAAGTGTTAATTTTAGTAAATAAAAATGTAACAATTGATAGTTTAATTGGTCAGTTACCTAGCTATATATAACAGTTCTCTTCAAATCCTTATACTTGTACCTCTTTTTATAATTATGTCTAATGGATGGGAAAATTAGTGGCATTTTTATGCCCCCTTATCGAAGATTCGGGGGTATATAGTTTTTGCCCTGTCCGTCCGTCTGTCTGTCTGTTTGTCTGTTTATCTGTTTGTCCGCAAAAACTTTAACATTGCCCATAACTTTTGATTGGTTGAATCTATGGCTTTCATATTTCACATGTGTATTCCTTGTGACAAGACCTTTCTTTGGGTACCATCATATTTGACCTTTTGACCTTGACCTTAGAGTTTGACCATGAACAGTTTTACAAAATTTTACCCAACTTTAACCATGGCCATAACTTTTGAATAATTGGTGCTAAGGCTTTCATACTTCACATATGCAATCCTTGTGAAACGACCTTTTTTGAATATCAACAACTTTGACCTTTTGACCTTGACCTTGGAGTTTGTCCTACTTTTGAAAAAAATTAACCTTGGCCATAACTTTTGAACGGTTGGTGCTAGGGCTTTCATACTTCACATGTGTAATCCATGTGACAAAACCTTCCTTTGGATACCAACAACTTAGACCCTTTGACCTTGACCTTGGAGTTTTACCTACTTTTGGTAAACTTTAACCTTGGCCATATCTTTTGAACGGTTGGTGCTAGAACTTTCATATTTCACTTGTGTATTTCTTGTGAGAAGGCCTTTCCTTGAGCACCATTAATTTTGACCATTTGTCCTTGACCTTGATGTTTGACTTACTTTTGAAAATTGTTAACCTTTTCCATGTCTTTTCAATGGTTGCTGCTAGGGCTTTCATATTTCACAGGTATATTTTTCTCGGGACAATACCTTACTTTGGATACCAATATATTTGATTTGCATTTGAAAAAAGTTTAACCTTCGCTATAAGTTGCAATACTGGGGCATCAGTGTTTCACAAACACATCTTGTTTTTTTTTTTAATTACTGAATATTTACTTGTACATACGTGACAGAAATCAGATGGTCAGACAAATCATATCGAGCATGTAACCAAACTTTGTCCGAACCCTACTTTAAAAATTTAAATTATAATAAAAAATGTGTACAATGAGTATGGTTTTTGAATATATTGTCCTGTAATAAAAACTCTGTTTCTTTTTTTTGGTTTAATTGTTGTAATCTAGAGTAATCACAAGTAATCATGATTACATGATGGAAAAGTAATCATATGTAATCGATTACTTTTAAAATCTAAAGTGATTGTAATAAAATCGATTACTTTTGAAAGTAATCGACCCCATTCCTGATATACACAAACACACACTCCATATAGGATTACAAACGTTTAATCAACTTATTGACTGAGATTTCAAATTATTCTTCCTTATTATAAGCACTATTTACAATTTTTTTCTGGTTCACATGGTGAGATTTAAAAAAAAAAAACACTTTATTTTGAATGTCTATAGTTTTAGTATACAAAATTATTGGGGGGTTGGGTTGGGCATCCCCACTCCCCCGAGTTCCCACGGGCGTGGAAATGCATTACAAAATGTTCATTTGTTTCAAAAAATATTTTACAATATCGTTTTTTTCTGGAACTGGAGGCCTAGAGTAAACATGGACTTAGTGACTAGATGTAGATGTAGTAATGGTCAACCATGTATGATCTTTTACATGTTACTGACAAATCCATAACACATTGATTATCCATAACTTATGCAATTAATTATAATTTAAAGATTTTACGATGTTTTGGTTATCTTATATTGTTTTCTTTACACACATGCCATATACTCTCCGTCTCCGTGTAGTTTCCGTGTCTTACTTTTGTATAGACCTGTAGTGGGAAAACCCCTATCTATATGGGACTATATTCCGTGAACCGTAGAGGGCGCCATCAAACAGGAGCACGACGATAGAGAGAACGTAATGGCAATACTGGACAAGAGCAGAGGGGGATACCGAGTGTTTGTGGGGGACCTCGGCAGCCGTGTGGGCAAGTATGACCTTGAGCGGGAGTTCCAGTATTTTGGCCCCATCCTTGACGTGTGGGTAGCCAGGTGCGTGTTCTCACTTCCACGATTATTTTTCTTCCCTCTTCTCTCCAAACAGTAGCATCGTTTACACATTTTACTGTGATTCTCTAAAAGAGGTGTATCTAAGTCTTTTGATATGGGTGTTCATTAGAAATATCTAATTATGTCACAAGTAATGCCAATATGTTCAATGAACTTTCATTTAGTTCACATCTGACTCAGACACCCCCCTTTTCAGTATGAATTTAGAATGTTTAATTCTTGACTGAAAATTACTGCATCATATTTGTAAATCTGCTTTACTTTGTAAATTAAACGATTTGCTTAGATAGTGTTATTTATGTGCGTGAATCTTATGTGTATGCAACTAACTGATTTAAAAATTTGCAAGTATTGGAAGAAAGTCAAACTTGGTATGTTTTAATTTTCTTTAGGAATCCCCCAGGATTCGCATTTCTAGTGTACAAGTATGGTGACGATGCAGAGAGAGCAGTGAGAAAACTTCACGGAAAGTATGTATTAAGTGTTGTATCTGTCTGACCTTATCTAAGTTTTGTTCCTCAGTTATTGTAATCTGTAAGAGAAATGAAACACCTGCTTAGAAACAAAGAGAAACATGAAAATCCTATCTACAGAATCATCCTACTGTATAATCAGGAACAGAAACATTGGCACCGGTCATGTTTACACAGCTTTTAATTGTGCAAACTTTGTAGACTTTATTTATACTAATAACAAAAAACGAAAAAAAAAAAAAAAAAAAAAAAAATCACCTCAAGAGATAGTAAAGATTCAGGCTAATTGTGTACCGGTATACAGAATGATTCTCCCTTTTTAGATACAATATATCACAGAGGGAACACAGAGAATCTTGTGTGTATACCCACTGTCAATCTGTGCCTATTATAAATTTGATATGTTTTTTGTCAGCAAGTTTTCCTAGAAATTCAAATGTCCATCTGTTGGTCTGTTAGTTTGATGTCAGTGCAGATCTCCCATCAGTAAATGCTGTATAGTGCCCCAAGTGCCCTTTGGCCTGATGTGATTGCACTTGAAAGTCCTAATGTCCTGTAGCTATATAGAAAAATTGTTTGTGTAGAAGTTGGATTACAGTAAAGCTTGGTTATTAAGAACTCGTTTATAAAGAACTCTCAGTTATAAGGCACTTTTTATCAAATCCTGTAGAAGATTTTTCACTGTGTTCCTAATTATAGGAATATAAAGAATTTAATTATAAGGAAATAAAAATCAAGTTTCCAGTGACTTCCTTATAAATGAGTTTTACTGTAGACGGTGATGTACTTAGACTCAAATGACATTAACACCAACATTTTCACAGTAAAGGGGGGGGGGGGGTTCAATGCTTGGTAGCATTACTTATAGGTGTTCAGTGATATTTGCAGTTGCCAGATACAACTTGTGTAAAATATAACTATACTTGTACTTGTCAGAATGTAGGTCAGAATCAAAGTGTACAAAATATTGGAAGATTATTATTGACTCGAGGATCTGAGATTTACACAAAATGAATTTCACAAAATATTTGTAAATATTAAAATGGGGTAAAAGTCTGAAAACATACTTGGTAAATAAACACAAGAGTGTGCTTCAGTTTAACTTGGAAAATGATAGAAATGACAAGGAAAAACAGACAGGGACAGATGTTACTAATTAATTTCCTCCATTGATCAGAATTGTATTTAGAAGATGTCAAGTTGATAACTTATGAAAGTATTATAAAAAATCGGAGGTACATTGTCAATCTGTCACATAAACAAGAGTTTTGTCAGATAATAATCAATAAAGGGATTAGGTATTCCCTACAGACAACTTAGAGTCGATGCAAGCTGCTGCAATATAGCTTATAACGTAAATAGAACATAAATAAAATGCTTTGTTAATTGTACCATGTTTTATGAATGAATAAACATTATATAAATACTTGTAAGACTGCATGTTAAGCTGCTTTAGTTTATAATGTGAAATAAGTTTTTAAGTGAATACACGAACAAAGGGAAATCTGTTTAGAATGGCCAGTGTGTATATATAACAAGACAACAGAGCTTGTTGACATGTTTATCATGTCAGTATTTTATTGATGAAGAAATATCAGTTGTACCAGGAAGGGAAAACATCCAGTAATGGGGATAGGAAGTTCTGGTAATGGAACAAGGCAGATAACTCTGTTAGCATCATCATAAAAGCCCGCACACTGGACCGGCCGTATGTCCACACATTAGTGTTCTGTGATGTTTTACCTGGTGTAGGTAAAGCGATACCTGATAAACCTTTGAAGGACAGGTGTATTCTAGTAAGACAGATACCAGAAGATTTCTGGGTTATCTATAAGCGTATAACAATCGTGTACTAGACTAAGATTTGACCCTTTGGTTACTGATCTGTAAAAGAGAGTCTCTAATTTAATTGATACCAGTCACTTTGTAAATATACGTGAAGCATTATACAAAGATCATCTATAAAAGCTTTTAAGATTTCTATAATACATCATGCTTAAGTGATATGGATGGTAACTTTGCATATACAATTAATTAGAAAGGGATAAAATACTTGGGCATATTTATTCTTCTCAGCCAGAGTTGGTGATTCTAGCTGAGAGACTTAAAATCTCAGCTCTCGAAAAAAAAGTTAATTAAAATGCAGGTTCAGTGGTGGTGTAGAGAATTCCAATTATACTTTTTATTCACAAGAACTTTACTTTATGTAATTACACGAGACCACCTGCCAGCTAATTTTCATACTGGAGTAAATTTGTAATAATTTAGATTACATATATACCAACAATATAACCAAAATTCAAAAAAAAAAAAAAAGGTCTTATCTTATATAAATACTAAATAACTATCTTGCAAAGGTGTTGTGTATGTTTGGTGATCTACAGTATGTGGAATCAATGCATTATGTAAACATTGTCACTTTAATAATACAGAAATAGTGACTGAATTGTGTTAATTTTAAATAACAAGTAATTAAAAAGTTATGTGTCATTTATTGTTCATAAATTAAAATGTTTATGTATGTACTATTTAAGCATGGTGTGTGGACGTCGTGTGCGTGTGGAACATGCCATTCCTTATGAAGAGAAAAAAGCCAATAGGTTTGATCAGCATTCATCTAGACACAGGTATAAAATGGTATTATTCTGAAAAAATAAAGCACTTCTATTCTTAAAATCACAGCTACAAATATAAGGCAATAAGGACTCACTTTAATGAAAATATTAATTTCCCTATTACAGGTTTTAAGTGAGGGCATGTTTTAGAGCTTATGATATTTTATTATATATAAAATTAATTGATAAAAATCAATTCACTCTCATACTTCCTTGTCCTATCGGAGTTATCATTTTTTCCTAAAGTACGTCCCTGTACCAGTAGACTAGATAATGAAGCTCATTATTTTGTTTCTATTTTAATGTGAAGGGAAATTGTTAGGACTGATTGACACAGACTACAAGCAGTCACAGAACTGGTAAAGATTGATATTTAACAGCACAATAACCCACCACTATACGTATATAAAACACAAATGGTAGAGATGAATTGATTTATTGGGTAACATTGAGAATTATAACAGGCTGCTATAATTTAAGACTATCCTTGATGTATGTTGATCTGAAGTCATACACAATGCCATGGTTTGGCGTGACATTATTTATCTCTTACTGAACATTTCCCTAAGTTGGATCAGCTGTTATTTTAAGAAATAAAGGACTTTTCAGTTGATTTATCTGATAAATTTAAAAGATTGCTTGAATGATTTTACTTCAGAAAAAATTCACCTAGCTGTGTTCATTGATCTGGTCAAGTGAACAGAAATCAGTTTCTCAGATTGAGGGAAATTTAGTTCTCAAAAATGTTCTGCAGAGGAGCTTACTGGTAATACCAGTACTAACCATTAAGTATGAATCTAATGATTACAGCTATTTGAAATCGCTGGAACAAAACAGTTTTTGCATTACCATTAAAAATTACCTGAAAATTGCAAGATAAATATTTAGTCTTAATATGGATTTACATCTTTAAATAATTGATAGATATATGAGGTCTCAAATGTGTAGTTTCTTACCATTTAAATGAAAATATATAAAACATTTTGAACTAGATGTGTCAGGGTGACACAAATGCCCCCATACTGACATGCAAGTTTCAAATTTATGAAAGTCTGAGAACGTGAAAATATCAATGGGTGGAAATGGCACAAAACAAAATATAGTGCTGGTTTTATTTCCTGGAATCAATTGTCTTTGCCACAAGTCCCACAACATACTTATGCTATGTAAAATGGTGATCATTTACAAGCAAAACAATAAAAAAGGCCAACAATATTGAAATATTAGAAATTTTCAAATTCAAAGGACCATATTTTTTGTAAAAATGGGTCAATCTATACAGAACTCATATTTGATCTGTAAGTCATCAATATCTAGAGACATACCAAAAATCAACTCATTATCCACAAGCACAGAAAAAAAAAAATGACCGAAAAAAAAAAAACAAACAAACTAACAATTGAAAAACAGTGAACCATTAGAAATTTTCAAAGTCTAAGGGCCATAACTTACGTAAATGGATCAATCATTGTCAAGAAAAAAAAAAAAAGAAACCAAAAAACAAAAAAACAAAACCTTGAAACATACCAAAAATCAACTCATTATCTACAAGCATAGCAAAAAAAAAAAGTGTGGATCAATCATTATCAAGAAACATACCAGATATCAATTTTATCTACAAGCATAGCAAAAAAAAGTGAAGAAAGCTGTGAATTATTAGAAATTTTCAAATTCTGAGGGCATTACTTTTGTAAAAATGGGTCCATTAATAGGAAACTTGATCTGTAAGTCATTAATTTCAAGAGACACACAAAAAATCAGCTCATTGTCTACAAGCATAGCCAAAAAAAGTCTTGAAAACTAACCATAAGGATATGACAATATGACAGAATGATGGAATGATTGATGAAAAGGCGGTAACACTGTATGCCACGACCATTTCAAGGCAGAGGCTTAAAAATTGACTTCAAGCCACTTGTGGAAAAACAAATATATGTTGCTCTTAATAATATTGATGTCTAACCCATGTGGTCTTTATTATTTTGTTGATTCTTCAATATAACACTATTTGAAATACGTAACAAAAACCTACCATTTCAACTAGAAATTCCATCAAGTTTTGATTTCATTTTCAGTTTTCTTTTAAAATAAAATCTTAATATTTTAAATTTTTAGTTGACTGAGATTAATTTATCAATGAAATAACCAGCTTTGTATTTCCCTATAAATGAGATTTAAATGAAATGTGTTTCCAGAACATATCAAAGATCTCACTCAAGGTCACGATCTCCAAGGCAACGAAGATCTCCATCACCAAAAAGAAAAACTTCAAAGACACGTTCAACATCGAAAGACAGGAGGTATCATTTTATGTGTGGTGTGATAGGCTAATTGTCAAACTGTTTCCTTTGTTTTAATTCCTTAGAATTGTAAACAAATTTTAGTTTTGAAAATCATTTAATAGGGATAGAAGGATATTAACTGCATCTTTGCAGATATTTAGAACTGAAAACTTTGATTCCCTACAGGGTTATCCCTATAAGAATTGAAATAGAAGGGGACATTAAGAAAGTAGAAGGGGGTCTGGGATTCCTCCCCTAACAAGGGGTTGAGGGGGATACTAGAGTAGCCGGGGGATAACGTTATTATAGGCGGGGAAATTCCCCGGCCCCTGGATCTTAGGGACAACTCTGCCCTAGAAAACTGGGATTAAGAACATACATGTACCGGTATATTTTTTGGCAAAAATCAAGTACACTTACATCTTTTAAGGCCAAGAATTTTTGGTCTGCTATAACTACCCATAAACCTGTTGCAGATTACACCTCTTAAACTCTGGCTGATATAATTTTAGTAACACCATCTGGATGCACTGAATATTGACTCTAGATTCCAGCAGCTTTCAAACTTATCAATCAGGTATCTCTATTGTAAGCAAAAAATGGAATTTTACAAGGACAGAATGTGTATGTGAAATAAAATAGAGAGTCACAATTGCTTATACATGTATATATGAATGTTTGTCTGTTGTTTTTTTTTTTTTTTACAAGACATGATATTACAGCAGTTTTTTTCATTGCTTTAAAGAGTTTAGCTTCAAACAAATGCAATATCAGCCACAGTTTTATTGGCATAATCTACCAATGGTTTGTAGGCAGCATAGCAAAAAGCCTGAGCTGGGGAAGGTGATACATTGAAGCCCGTTAATAATGTTTATCTTACTTTCAAAGACGTTGATTCATTCCTGTCTATCAAACCCCAAAAAACATACTTTCTGCAAATGTTCATCTTCTTCCTCTTTAGACAAAAAGCAGATAACATTCTCATTGAATACCAAATGTAAAGTTGTTAAAATTAATAGAAATATGACAGTGTTTATCATGTTTAAAAGATTCAATTTTGTATTTCTTGATTTCCTTAGATCTAGGTCAAGATCAAGAAAACGAGACAGATCAAGGTCAAGAAAAAGAGACGGATCTGGGTCAAGGTCAAGAAAGCGAGACAGATCTGGGTCTAGGTCAAGAAGAAGAGATAGATCTGGGTCAAGATCAAGAAAAAGAGACAGATCTAGGTCAAGATCAAGAAAGAGAGGTAGATCTAGGTCAAGGTCAAGACAAAAGGACAGATCTAGCTCACGGTCAAGACAGAAGGACAGATCAAGATCAGCAAGCAAAGATCGAAGGTACTGTGACATGCTTTCAATTTTTTTGTAACTTTAAGGGTTATGATTTATAAGAAAATTAACTTGTATATAATTAGATAAAATGATATAACAGTGTTTTAAATATTAAGTAATTTGTAACTTTAGGTAAGATTTTTTTCTCTCTCTTCAGATCTAATAGAAAAGGGAGGTCAAGGTCAAAATCTAGGTCAAGGTCAGTGAAACATTTTCCTTTTGATACTCTTGAAAAGACATCAGCACAATTTGTTTTTAGGATATATATATACAGTTTGATAGAATTTTAAATATTCTCTGGCTTGGTTATTATTCAGATCCAGCACGAAGGAGAAAAATAAAGACCAGTCAACAGAAGAGACCTCAGATTCCGCAGGAGAGAAGAAGTATACCAAAGATAATAAAAGGTAAGAATATCATCCAAAACAACTGTCTCTTTTCATATATTCCTGAGAAATACACAGTGTGTTACATGTATAATGCAGATGTCTGTGAAAAGAGGAGTATGTCAATCTTATGTTGAGTGAAAAGACAGGAAACTCTGGTTAATAAAAACTTGGACTACATGTACATGTACTTTTTTTCGATGGTATGAAACCTTTCAGGTGCCTGTGAGTTCCTGAGCCTATTTCACTTTTGAGTAGAGATGATATACAGTGAATGATTTGTTTGTCAAATTAGCTAAAGAAAATGTACAACAATTGATTTCATTAGTCAGAAACTGCCAAAGATTCTGAACAGTATATCATTTTGTTGGTCAAAGCCAGCCACATAATGTACCGTATAGTAAATGGTTTGAATAATCAAACCAGCTAGAGATACTACAGTCAGTGATTTGATTGGTCGAACCAACTAGAGATAATGTACAGAAAATCATATGATTTGATTGGTCAGAACCCAGAAACATTACAAGGATACTTTTTTGTATCATTTCAGGTCAAAATCCAAGTCTCCTGTAAAAGACAAGCCACAAGAAGAGAGGTAAGGTTGATTAAAGCAATCCTTGTTTTTTAAATATGAGTAAATAATAAAATGAATGAGGAAGATTCACATAGAAACACTTTATTGACTGTTGTGCTGTAGTGATGATGTGATTTGCAATAACACAGAAATTTCATTTGTCAACTAAAGCATTACAGAGACTCAGCAAAATGATGGTGCCAATGAGAGTGAGCAGAATTTGAGATCAATTGATGCTGAGAATGGTCATGAACCTGACACAAAGAGCACAAATTCTGAGGAGGGTCAAGGAATGGACAGAGGAGAGGGTGACACAAAGGAAACAGAGAGGCAAGTGTAATAAACACAACAGGGGTTACTCTCTAGTAAAATCTGTCTCAATATTTTGCAATAAAATATGAAATTTTCAATGACAACTCATTTTCTTTAACCTTTGAATTTTTCTCTATATTTCCAGGAATGGTGGAAAATCAAAAATAAATGAAAAGAGGTATGACTTTGGTTTGTTAATCATTAAGAAATTATTTATTCTTGCTTTATAAAAATACCAACAATGATTACTGCAGCAGTTATATAAGGTTATATAGTATACAATGTCTGAATACAATCATCTGGAAGTCAGGCTTTTAGGTGCTTTTCACATGCAATTAACACCAATATGAAGAATGCTTTAAACTTACAAAAGTTTACAGATTCATAGATTCTTTTTTATGAGTCACTGAGGACTTAAAAGGTATTTGGAGGAATGCAATTTTTCACTAATAGAAGTGTGATTTTTTTTTAATGGCTGAGAGTTTTCCCTTTGCATACTTTTTTATCAATATCTAGCAACAAAACGAAGAAAATGATACAAAATAGGTACAGCTACTCAAGGGAGATAACTAACTCAGCAGCATATGACAAAGAACCATAACTCTTCCATCAGCAACAGCAAATTTCATGTTGTTACAAACCACTACTCAGGTTCTGATAGTACAACTTTTGACTTGTCAATCAACTTAAGGACACACCCTTCACGCAGAGGATAAAACCAATCAGAAACATTAAAATTTTGAAGTGAGTAGTTTGATATGAAGGTTCAAGCAGTACTAACAATTTACAGTGTAGTTTTTAGTATATTACTAACATCACCCAGCCATCACTGATTGTGACCAGATGAATTAACCATACCCCTCCCCCTTTACATACATTGAATTTAAAATAGGTTGTTTTTTATTTTTGCTTATGCATTTACATTTTTTAATAAGAAGTCAATAAAATCCTTTCTGTCTCTATATAAATACATCCTCAAAACTCCACATGGTTACCTCTGAAATTTTGAAAATTTATTTTGTTTCAGTTTGTTGCTTTTGATCAATTTTTATGCATGAAAATATACTTCTCATAATTATAGAAACGGTTAATTATATCCCACGCAGCAAGTTGCATTAGGTATAATGTTTTTGACTCGTCCGTCAGTCAGTCAGTCCATCAGTCCTGTTTTTTTGTCAGCGCAACTCCTCATAAACTGCTGCACAGAATTTCATCAAACTTTGCAGTTATATAGGACACAATGTGCAGATGTGCATATTACCAGGAAATTCTGATTCCGTTATTTTTTCTGGGAATTACAGCACTTTTCAACTTAGATTTGTGGCCATATCTTGAATATAGAGATGAACAATTTGTCAGCGCAACTCCTCATAAACCGCTGCACAGAATTTGGTCAAACTTTGCAGATATTTAGTACACAATGTGTAGATGTGCATATTACCAGGAAATTCTGATTCCATTATTTTTGCTTTAAGAGTTTTGCCTATTATTGAAGAACTTTCAAGCTAGGTAAGAAGGAAATCCACTGGAATCAGCTTTCGTAATGAAATTTTATGTGAAATATTTTATGACCTTAAAAGACCCCTATTGATTTTGAGATCAAAATATTAATGATTTAACACACACACACAATCTTTGATAGTTCCCCCCCCCCCCCCCATTGATATGACTACATCATAATATTGTTTCCATCAATTATTTAAATGTGTAAATTGTCATGTGTTGGACATGGACTTACACTCATTAACAAATCGAAATCACTGAGGAATTTAAATAACAGTTTGTCAGCATAACTCCTGCACTGAATTTCCTGAAACTTTGTAGGTATTTCAGACATAATGTGTAGATTTGTATATTACCAAGAAATTTTGATTCCATTATTTATCTAGAAACTTCAGCCCAATTAATTTTGTAACATACAAAGATTTGAATGTCCTTTTATGCAAGAAGTTTTGATGTGATGATTTTTTGCAAGTAATGCCCCTTTTTAGGTCACCTGAGTTACTCAGGTGACCTATTGCTATCTGTTTTCGTCCGCCGTGCGTCGTCCATCGTGTGTTAACATTTCAACATTTTCAGCTTCTTCTCTTAAACCCCTCAACCAATTTCAACCAATTTTGGCATACGGCATGTATGGGTGAAGAGAAACAAAATTTTTGAATTTCATGGTCCCTGCCCCCCTGGGGCCTGAGGGGTGGGGCCAAAACCACTAAAATTAGTGCAATCTTTAAAAATCTTCTTCTTTACTCCTGGACATCAAGCAGTCAAACTGTTGGCATGATTGTAATAAGCAATGAGCCCTCTACCAAAATTGTGAAATTCATGGCCCCAGGGTCAGGGGTTCTGGTGCTAGGGCGGGTCTCTGTTGAATATATAGTGAAAATGTATTATTTCTTAAAAAATCTTCTCCTCTGCTCCTGGGTATTAAACCAATGAACTATGTACATAGTTATGATGAGGAAGGGTGCCTCTTCAAGAATTGTGAATTTCATGGCCCCTGGGTCAGGGGTTCTGGTGTTAAGGTGGGGGTTTAATGATTATATAGTGAAAATGCATTAATTCTTTAAAAATCTTCTCCTCTGCTCCTGGGTATTAAACCAATGAACTATGTACATAGTTGTGATGAGGAATGGTGCCTCTTCCAAAACTGTGAATTTCATGGCCCCTGGGTCAGGGGTTCTGGTGTAAGGGCAGGGATCTTATGATTATATAGTGAAAATGCATTAATTCTTTGAAAATCTTCTCCTCAGCTCCTGGGTATTAAGCCGATAAACTATGTACATAGTTATGATGAAGAAGGGTGCCTCATCAAGAATTGGGAATTTCAAGGCCCCTGGGTCATGGGTTCTGGTGTTAGGTGGGGCTCTAATGATTATATAGTGAAAATGCATTAATTCTTTGAAAATCTTCTCCTCTGCTCCTAGGTATTATGCTGATGATCTAAATACATAATTATAATAAGGAATGGTGCCTCTTCCAAAATGATGAATTTTATAGCCCCTTGGTCAAGGGTACCATGGGGGAGGGAGCTATAATGATCATATACTGAAAATGAAATAATGCTTTGAAATCTGTTGTTTGGTATTAATCAATTATTTATGATGAGCAAAGGTGCCTTTTCGAAAATTGTGAAATATGTGGCCCCAGGGTCAGTGGTTCCTGTGGGGTGGGACACTACTGATTATATAGTGGAAATAAGGGTGCAATGATACACTAACCTCACGATATGATACGTATCACGGTATTCAGTTCATGATACGATACGTATCACGATACATGACAAGGTTAAAAAGTCTTTCAAGTTTGTCATCATATTTTTTAAAACTTGACAGGGTTATATAAAATGTTCATATTTTTTAATAATGATTAAAATAAAATTTTGTTAACTTGAATTGGATTGTTAGGTAGATCTTTGAGTTTTGACAATATTCTAAACCAATGTTGAACATTTACAGGGAACTACGGGGACCTTTCCTAATAATATTCCTTTTAAATTAGAATGAAAAAGGAAGACATTCATTCTTTTATTTCTTTTATTTACGTAGAAAACCAGTTTTCATATTTCTCGTGTTAACACGTTTTAGTCAACAAGACAGTGAATTTTCATCGAAATACACATGTGATGAAATATCGTGTATTACCGAAGAATACGTTTAGATCTAAAGGGTTTATCATTTGTCTTAACATCTATAACTTATAATCACATTAAGTCCTTCTCCGTCTTAAATCTGAAGTCTGTAAGATGCTGGAGATGAGTTTAACTTACGTTAATGCGTTATCGGCGACCTCACGTTTTGCGCGGAAGTCATTTTGAAATTGCTAAAAAGGAAACAAAACGGACGATTCGGATAATTCTGGACCGATTGAACCGAACCGCGATATCAGTTTAACATATCGTGAATTGAACCGTGGAAAAATATACCGCGACATACCGTCAAACGGTTTATCGTTGCACCCTTAAGTGGAAATGCATTTTTCTTTGTTCCTCTGATCTGCCTCTGGGTATTAAATAATCAAAGTAAGCATGCTAAGTGTATAGTTATGATTAGTAATGGTGCCTCTTTCAGAATTGTGAATTTTTTATGGCCTCTGGTTTAAAACATGAACTAAATTCAATTGTTGGAAAGTTGTTGCAGGATACTCAGGTGACCTATAAGGCCCATGGGCCTCTTGTTGAATTATACTGTGTATTTAAAATGCACTGTGCTATTCATTACGTGTTGCATTGTCGAGTTTTATGTGAACTTGCTCACTTTTTCTTTCATATAAAAAATAGTTTGCTATATGACAAAAACTCTGGGATTCTTAAACCTCATTTGTAGAGTGTGTTTCACCAGACACAGTGTCCAATTAAGACAGAGTATAACTAACTATATTAAGAACAGTTTAACTTGAAATACATGTATTTGAGGTAAGGAAAGATAAACACAGTGTAAGACAGAAAAATCTCACACAGCTGTCTCACACTGGACAAGCCTATCTAACACCAGTGATAATACGAGAAAAAAGTGTATCCATGATAGAGTTATGAGACTTCTCTAGTGCTTGTCACTTAGTTTAAGACAATTTTAACAGCATTTATTACTTTTTAGCTCACCTCAACGAAGTTGGGGGAGCTTATGTAATACCCTTGGCGTCCCAGGTTAAGGTTTTTGGAGCAGTTTTCTTTTCAAGTACTTCTATGGCCTATATTAGTCAGAGATGCATGGAGGATGCTTCTAGTGTGTTTTATTGTACCAGTCAAGGTTTCAGATGCTGCAAATTCAGCTAAAGAATGACCAGGTTAATGTTTTTGGAGCAGGTTAAAGTTTTTGGAGCAGGTCTCATTTCCAAGTAACTATAAGCCCTATATTGACCAAACTTGCATGGGTGATACATCTAAGGATGCACACTACTGAACTTGCTTCGGATGCTGGATCTGACCTAAATTTTTGGGATGAGTGACCAGGTTAAAGTTTTTGGAGCAGATGTCATTTCCAAGTAACTATAAGCCCTATATTGACTAAACTTGCATGGATGATACATCTAAGGATGCACACTACTGGACTTGCTTTAGATGCTGGATCTGACCTACATTTTTGGGATGAGTGACCAGGTTAAAGTTTTTGGAGCAGATGTCATTTCCAAGTAACTATAAGCCCTATATTGACTAAACTTGCATGGATGATACATCTAAGG